GGTGGTGGGCACACACATTCCCCCCCCCCCCCCCCCCCACACACACACACACACACACACACACCCCGTACAGTATCGTGTTGTTGCCTGTGTGGTGAGATCACATTATCTCACATCACAGGGAAATGAACAAAAATTGCTCCTCCCGCTCTGCCTTTTTGCTCTTTTACTCTCCCTCCCTCCCTCCCTCCCTCGCTCCCTCCATCCTCCCCTCCACTCCTCGGTAGCAGCAGGTGTTATTCTCGTATAACCTGAAGATTTGTGTGGTAATTAGCATACCTCTCAGCCCCAGAGAGTCATTTCTGCTTCGTGGGAACAGCAGGGGACATGGGTCCGGGAGTGTTTGTGTGCGCCCGATGAGAGGAAGAAATCACGCCTCAAAAACACGTGGGAGAGATTACTCAAATATGCCTCCTTTGTACCCTCTTTACCCCCCTTCTCGCTGCTTTTGCACGGTTATCTCTCCCCCGTTAAGCAGTGAGCTGCAGCCCGTCTCCCCCTTTTAGTATTTCTGCAGGATGTCGGAAGCTGTAGAGCAACGTTAACCACCTATATACACTTGAGTTTCATTGCAGCTAAAGGCTTTGACCTTGTGTTACGTTGCCCCTTAAGTCGCTGTTGGAGATGTCCAGGACCAGCGCAACACAAGGAAAGGCAAACTGGCAGAATCACGCTTTTGTTAAATTGCTCTGTCAACAACAGGTTAACAATTAATCGTTCACGGTGCATTGAAACAAAAGCAGGATCGGGCTAATGATAAGCATCCTCCTAGGAGGCAATTAACTGCACTGATATTACATAATGACAGCCCACACTTTTTTTTTTTTTTTTTGGACTAACATCACCGGTTAAAGGATCCTAAAAAAAAACAAAAAAACATAGGTTTAAAATGGAGGTGTAACAGCACATCCCCACCTTCTTTTTTTTCCATGCCAGAGGCAGAGGAGAGAATTAGCGGGTCAGTAATGAAACACCTTGAAACTGTCAGGGTGATCTCCGCAAAGAGTGTCATTTTCTTTGACAGGATCTCTTACCTTTGCTGTTGTCCTCTTCCCTGTTCAGATACATGGCTGTTACTTCACTCCGAGGCGAACGCGACGGCGCTGTCTCAATTATCTGTGGGTAACTCCTCAGGCTGGCGTGTATCGTGAACTCCGCTGATGTGCTTCGTAGTAGTAGCTGTTTATTGTTTTGTTGCTCCTCAACAGCCTCTCCTCTCCTCCTAGCGGATAGTAGGCTAACCACTTAGAGACTCTCCCTCTCTCTCTCTCTCTCTCTCTCTCTGTGTGTGTCTCTCTCTCTCTCTCTGTCTCTGTGATAACCACCGGTTCACTGTGCGGCTCAGAGGACAATGATGGGGAAAAAGTGACTTTCGCTGCTGTGACAAGAACAAGTCCTCCTTACCGCCTGTTTGCTCTGCTGCCATGTGCGGTGCTCGATTCTGTTCCTATCCGTTTTTCATTAAACCAAAAAAAAAAAATAATGCAGAGTGGACTAACAAGCCCACCTTGGGGATTTTGAACGAACCCAGTTACACAGGTTCATATCACATTCATACCACACTGTTTATGATCACACTGAGGAAAGTGAGTCCAGCATTCAACATGAAACATTTTAGTATGCAAAGTGAACTCTTTATGAATCTTAGGCTACATTATTAAACAATAGCCTACATCTTAATATTTTATATTATTACTTATTTATGTATTTCCAACGAGGTTCACTGATATTACAAAGAACAAGACTAACATACCCCACAATTAAACAATCAAATCAGCAAAATGCCATTAAAAAATCTTTAATAGCTATAGGATTAGTTTGTAAATGTTTGGTTAATGGGTATTTTTGTGATTCTCTTTATTTTTGAGCTACTTTTAGCTGCCTGGTACACCAGTTGGCAGTTTAATCAAACAAAATGATGTCCTTGTTCATGAGCAGATCATATATTTAGCACTTTTGTCTGCAAAAATAACTATTATTTTAGTTTTTCGTGAATCATTTCAAGTCGTTGATCGAGAAACAAAGCAAAACCTGACATGTTCCAGCCACTCCAATGAGATTTGTGTTGTTCATGTTTGAGTTTTTTATATATATATATATATATATATATATATATTTAACTTAAAGGTCAAATTAACATGTTTTGTTTTTTTTGACTGTTGCTCTAAAAACAGTGCATTTGAATACGTCACCTTGGGCACAGGGAAAATATTATGGGTAGTTATCGCTTGTGTGACTATGTGAAAAGTAAACAATGATAGTTTTAGGTAAAATAATCCAGATGAACTGAGAATGATAGTTATTGTTATTCACAGAAGAGTAAAAGTACCAGTCAAGTTCATGACGTGGAGTCAAACGGGGCAACATTTTTCCTCTGAAATGTTAGCGAAAATTATATATATTAATTATAAAGTGGTAAAAACTGACATATTGATGTAAGTGAAAGCACAGCACTTGAGTACATGTATTCAGCTACCTTCCACCACAATGACCCATGAGTTATTAGAGCAGCAGAATCATATGAGAACTCTACTTTGGTGTCAGTAAACACTGATGTAAGGCCAGAAAAAGAGGAACCCATCTGGACCTGTGACTTCAACCATACCACACCTGCTGCACATCCGTATCTCTTCTCCAAATGGTGGTCAGATGGTCTCGTATTCAGCACCCTGTCCTGTGCGAGTTTATGGAGCACATTACCAGGCACAGGGCAGAGATTAAGAGCTCTTAAGGAGCAATTGTGTGCGTCCTCAGCTAGCTTTTGATGCAAGGTGATGTGACTGCTATGCAAATAGTCTCCAAATTAGATGCATAAATGGGATGAAGATAACCCTGAGTTTTCAGGCTGTCTTACATCACACGTAGGCGGCCCCTGTAAGTAAATGTTGATGGAACAATTTGTCCATGACCTTGACTTAGTCCTAGAAAAAAGAAAATCCACTCAGAAGGCAATTTAAAACATTTTCTTCAATTATTTTCCCTTATTTTGTTCACAGAGAAATTTTTCCAATTTGTGCTGGAACTTCTTGTCACACAGCGTGGGCAGACCGAGGGACGGGACATTTTCAAATAAATGGGATAAAGCATGACAGTTATTAAGACTGCAGCACAGTCAGCATCAGTACTTTGTCTTACAGTGGCATATAGTTATGGTATGGTTGGTTAAAATGGCATGGTTAACATAGAAGTCATGTGATTAAGGTTTAATATTTAAATGAAAATCCTCACAGTGAATCAACCAGTAACCTCCTGAAGTGAAATCTTCACGGTGCAGGCAGTAATGTTTTTATTGTACTATCGCAGCCTTTCAACGGCTCTCAGTTATAAATATGAAGGTTCTCCTTACAAGCCTGCAAAATAGAAAGTTAATATTCCATTCAATCATGTGGCTCTCTGATATCACAGATTACACTTCAATAGGAAATGAGCCGAGCTGTACTGTGGATGCAAATGCTGCGAGAATTTGCAATATCGCATTTAACAGTTTGCCTGTGTTTTGTCAATAGAGCTGAGAAGGTCATTTGCTCAGAGCATCCTGCAGTGATTTCCATTTGATTATATTTTTGTTTTGCAGTGCACGCTATTTATTGAGAGTCTTTTGCTATTTGTTAGAGGAGCATTCTCAGCAGACTCATTTAACCACTGACTTTCTGCAGATCCCCCCCCTTTGTCCTGTGCTCCCAGCATCATTGTGCCTGTCACTGATGCATCTGTCTCCACTGTCATCTATAAATACCCCCTTCTCTCCCCTTCAAAAACCTGATTCCCATTGATTTAGTGACCTATATACGCATCAACACCATCCTCTTCTTCCCCTGGCTCTCTGCTCCTTCCATCGATGGTCCTTTACTGTCTCCACCTCTTCGTTGCCCGCTTCTTTCCCTGCATCGTTCTCTTCCTTTACGCTCAACTTAGACTACCTCTCCCTGCACCTTTTCCACCTCCTCCTCTGGCTATAAAGCGGGAGAGACTAATAATAGTTCACGGTGGCAGCTTAAGTCATGACACATGAAAGGGATTTGAATGAGCAGAAGAACAGTGGCGGCTGCTCATTTCTGTATTTCAAAGTCTTGTCATTGTGGTAAACTGAGCCTTTGGCTAATCTCCTGTGTGTGTAAACACTGGAGTAGATAGTCTGATGAAAGGAGTCTCTCGAAGAGGCGCAAAAATTCAATAAGAAATCTGACTCTGGCTGAAAGAAGACCCGCATACAAACACACAAACATGTAGGAAGCAAGCAGTGTGCGAGATGTGTGTGACCCTGTGTGTGTGTGTGTGTGTGCAGGTTTACAGGAAAGTGCTATGATGACATTATACTGCAGGGTGCTGCAAAATAGTGCCTGGAAACTAATGCTATAATGGGGAATACATGGCAAACAGAAGGGGATTAATAATGAATAAACCCCTGTCATAACATCAGTTCAGCTGAAACGTGCAGGAATCACAAGGGGATTTATAAACCCGGAACAGCCAGTGAAATCCATAAGAAAGCAGATTTCCATATTGTTATAGTGCTACTTCTGAACACCTTGTTTATCGAGTGAAGCCACACAGATCACAGGTGGACACAGAAGCACCCCGTGCACAGGCTGCAAGAGATATAAAGCAGCATTACTGAGAATAAGATAGCAAGGCAGAGTGAGATCGGAGCGCGTGATTTACTGTCACACCGCCCAAGCTTAGCATACACCTGTAGTATGTAACAGCAACAATAGTCCCCACTCCCACAGAACAGGCAGGACTGCAGCTCTCCTGCAACCCCACACTGACACCTGGTGGCTCGGCGAGGCTGCAAATCCTCACAACTCGACAGACTCGGTTGTTCTCCTGAGCCCCGAGGAGCTACAATGTCATCCTCACACTCTTCAAAGCATCACCCTGCTGTTTGGTTTTTCACAGCACTTCTAAAAAAGAACTTTTAAACACAGCTTGATAAAAAACCATGAGTGTTAAAAAAAAAAGAAAGAAAAGTAACCTTCAGAAGAGAACACAACAGGAGATTTGAGGACAGTCAGTTTATTGAACAGCAAAATTGTGACAGGAAACACATTATTTCTTTTTTTTTTTCCATTTCATTGTAAATAATGTCTATGACAACTGTGTCATTCACCACACATATTCATATCCGCCCTCTTTGTCGCAGAGAGAGACTTATTAGATGGACAGTGGGGTGTGGGTGCTTGTTGTTAAAGTGCTTTAATGCACAGTTCCTCTTGGAGGAACAACAGAGGCCGTGAGGAGAGCTCAGACCCCAGAAGGCCTCCAGGGTCCCTGGCTGCATCATACATTGAGTGATTGACAGGTTGGGAAGTTGTTTGTTTTCTTCTTTTGTCTACCTCGAGTGTGTGTGTGTGTGTGTGTGTGTGTGTCTGTGTGTGACTTCTACTTATTGCATATTAGTGAGCTGGTTTGTGTCTTTTCCGGTTCATGTGTAAAGCACAAATCTTTCCATTAAAATGTAATAAACTCTTCACTATAATTATAATAAAATCTCATAATATCTAAGTTACATTCTCATATCTGATTCAGTTAGAATATGTAGGCGATATACATTTTTGTGGGTAACATAGCGGACACCCTCATCCTGTCGTCTCAGCCCTGTGAATCAAGTTTAACAGACAGATGAACTTAAAAATCTCAATCAACATCGCCACTGAAATAAATCAGACCCAGGACTCTGTCTAAGTGTATTCAAAGTGTGCCTCTTGTGCCTAATAATCCTTTGTGCTTTCTTGATTGTATACACTCTTAGTCATACATTTGGTGTTTCAAAGCTCCTCTCCATTCACCTACACTCCCCGGTTGTGAGGGGAGAGGAGGTGGCAGATAGAGGGAGAGAAGGGAGAGAGCATTGGTCTGACAATCAAAGAGAAAAAAAATACCGCAGTGTCACACTAACAACTACACATCAACTACAGCACTGCACAGTCAGACACGCACGCACGCACGCACATACATAACCAAATGCACAAGGTCAATGAAATTCACAGCTGAGTAAAACAAAATGACTTGCACAACATTTTCAGGACTCAACAGAAAGAAAAAAAAAAAAGACAATCAAATCTGAAAACAACTAGGGAGGAGTGAGGGTGGGGCTGGATGAAAAAAAAAAAATCAAGTCAGTAATCTCAACAACACATTAATTGGCATTCTGATCACAACAACATTGTTTATGAGATGAACTGGAAATCAGAATGTCAAAAACAACAACAACAAGACAGTGATTTATCAAGACGAGCACACAGAAGCTGGCAGGGTTTTTTTTTTGTGTGTGCCGTTTTCCTGTGGCTCGGCTGTCATCTGCTAACATGGCTGGGGGGCGCCAGTGGACGTCTGGCAGCTCTGATGTCCCTCCCTGACCTATGGCTTTCAGTTAAGACTTTGATAACGCTGAGAGATTCACTAGCATGCAATTCTGTCGGCACAGCCTTGGTCGTTAGTAGCCGCCGCCTTCATATTGCAGCTACCTCATGGAAGAAGCACCATTCAAAATGAGTTACAGGCTGATGTCAGCAGGTCCCTATTAGCCCTCTCCAGGGTTCATTTCATTTCCAGAGATGTTTAAGTAGAGCCACAGGTCATCAACCTAAAAGCAGCTACACTTTTAGTATCATTCTATGACACCTTGGTGGATGAAACTGTAGCAAACAGACTGAAACTTCACCCATAACCCCGGGGAGAAGAATCTAGATCTACTCCTTCTGTTCCCCTTTGCATACATTAAAAAAACCCTCATTGATATGCTGCATTAAGTTGAAATGATGCTTGCTGCATTAAAACATGTTCCTTCAATTGATATGTCTTCATCACCACAACATAATCTCACAACAATATGGGTTGAAGGGGGAGCTGGAGAGGTAGGTGTGCAAATAAGCCATCATGTACAAAACAAACAATAAATCCTACAACGTAAAAGTTCATTTGATCTGCATATGTACAATATAGATAAGGTGGACACTTTGACACAGAAAAAAAAAAACAACACATACAAATATATAGTACTATATTGTCTATAGAAAGGAATATCGATAAATAGATCTCACTCCCACAAATGATAACACATTGAGAAGTTGCATCGCCTATCTACAGTGCAACAGTACAAATGAAGAGCTGCTTGGGCAGTGGGAGCGAGAAAGGAATGTGATTGGATAATACACATCAAAGTCACCTTGATCTCCGGCGAGATAAACCAATGGCAGGGCTTCATTGTTGTGATGCACAAACAAGATACGACAAGGGCTGCTCTCCACAGCGGCTTAAAGCAAACAAAACCTTCTAAAGCAAACAATTAGAGATGTTTGGTGAAACTCAAAAACATTGAAACCATTGGTTCAATGTCTGATAAAGAAAAACGTTTTTTTTCATTACCTCTTTGGGGTCTTGCCACTGACTTCAAGTTCAAAGTAGAATTTTAAAGTGAGCGTGATCATCTGTAAACAATAATAAATATGTTTGGCTCCGAGGGGTTATCATCTACTCCAGTTAAAGTGTTATTGCCACCACAATGGTGGACTGTACTCGATGTGATTTGTCAGCCAAATTGCTAAATATCTTCCAATAAACTGGAAATCATTTCAAGCCATTTAGTGTTCACAGCTAATGCTTTCACCTGAACAAACAATGAATCACACTGGGCAGAAAACTGCAGCCACACTGCTCTCTATGTTTGCACTAAAATGTTCAAATACCCTGCACATCTGACCACTAACTGATCAGTGATGTCACAGCAGGGCGGTCCATCATTCATCAACAACGAACATGAAATGGAAAGGACCAAACCACTGCTGTGACATCACTGTTTGGGGCGTGGCCACAAGACCAACTGATAATGACTTTGACCCTTAACAAGCAGGGTATAGAAGCAGTGTTTTTTTAAGAGTCTGTGTCGAGGAAAACAATGCATACATTTAGTTTTCCTGTTGCATAATGCCCACAAAAAGTGGCGCTCTGTTTGTTCACCAGAAACCAGGGGTAACTGATACGAGGCAGAACAGCCAAACCATTGTGGTAGTGTAAAATATCAGATGGAACCTGATCTACTTCAAAAGCCAAGGCAATCGAAGTTCATTACATCCACTTACAGGAAGGGATGTGGTTTCACAGGAAAGATCAGAGGAGAAGTGCTGGAAGCACATCAACACATTCCTGGGGTCTTTGTCTGAAACAGAGGCATATAATTTTCTCCAATTCTAAGCGTACTATTTTTTTAAGACATAAGGTTAAGGGGAGATTCTTTAAATACTATTTCATTACACCCCTTCTAATGTGTTTAATGATCTTTCTAAGTAAATAATGTGCATGTTATTGAGCCAGCTAACTATGGTCTTCCAGAGGGTTATTGTTGTAAAAACCAGGTACTGTAGGGCTTGCAGAACTGCAGCAACCAAGGGCAGTACATCTACTTCATAAATTTCACAATCATATTCAAAAATTGCACAAAACAAAGAAAAAAGTCGTAATCATAAAGCGTTATTCCTTTAAGACTTCAACTGATATTTGTGGCTTCATTTCCAGAGTGCTAGCTGAGCGTGCCTACTGGAAGTTGTAGTGCCACCATAGGCAGCTTGGCAACAACAAAAAAAAGAAAGGCTCTGTCCTAAACTGTTTCAACATTCAACACAACAAATTTAAAATGAAATGTACTGAATGAGTCGTGCTTCGACCCTTCCACTTTTTTCACAATGAGATGAACCTTCGCGCAGTTGTTTGTGATGCGTTATGGGAGGGAAAGGCAGAGAGGAGGTTGCCTTTTATTTGTCTTTGTTAGGCATGAAGCTGAGGATAAATTCACCCACACCCAGGAAGTAGATCACCTGGGCGATGCCAAACAGCGGTGCGATGACCAAGGCTCGACAGTAGGCTCCCTTCAGGAAGGCTGATGGACCCTCATTACGCAAGATTTTCCTGTAGAGCATAAAAAAAACTCATTATAAAAAGGTGAAGGACGCAACAAGCACTAGTTAAATCCGGTGCACAGTGTTTTACCTCATACTGTATGTTCTTAATATTTCATTGTATTTTGGAGTGATTTAGGCACTTGTTTTCATTTCTTCATGTAAAATGTGTGGAGTCATACAGGCACACAACAAGACAGATCCTTTTGAGACACATTCTGACTTCACTGCACACACTATATCACACATGATGCAGCAGCAAAGACATAATGAGGTCACCTGATACAGTCAGTCACTCCACTATACGTGTCTTCTGTGCTTCCTCGGTTCAGAGACTGCAGTCTGGTCTTTATCACTGAAACACACAGAGCTCGTGTGATTATTAATCACAGCTTAATGGTTAAAAACACGGCTTTTACAATGTTCAAAGTCCCACTGCTCACCATCAACAGGGTTGACGGCAACAGCCGCTGTGCTTCCGGCAGCGCAGCCTGATATGAAGGACACATAGAAAGGTGCAGGTCCTTCAGAGCCTCTTTTGCCCAGGTTATTCAGGTTGGCGAAGAGGGGGAAATAGATGATGGAGAAAGGAACATCCCTACGAGTAGAAGAGAAAGTTATGTGTGTGTGGTTCTTTACAGATGGTTTGTAAACTTACCACTTTGTTACAATATCTGTTTTACCTGAGCAAGGTGGCTCCAAGGCCTTTATACAGCCCGGCAATGCCCTTCTCCTTCAGTAGTTCTCTGGTTAGCTGCATGGCTGTTGGGGACTTGGTCTCCACAGTACCTGCTGCCACCGTCTCTGGCATCAGCTTCCTCTGAGCCGCTGTGGAGCATTAGAAACAAAACATTAAGAATAGTAAGAGCTTTTAGGGCGCCGGATAGCCTAGGGATTATGTTGCGCGCCCCCTGTAGGGAGGCTATAGTCCTTGTCGCAGCAGCCTTGGTTTCAAATCCAAACTTTTGCTGCATGTCATCCCCCACTATCTCTCCTCCAAATTTCCCCTGTCCCTCTTCAGCTGTCCTATCCAATAAAAGGCAAAAAAATATCCCCAAAATAGAGACAAACTGTTTAATGTAAAGCTAACAATAATAACACAAAGCTACATACATTTTGAAAACTAGTACAGAAAAAAATAAAATAAAGATGTTGTAATCTCTGGTATGACCACACGAGGCCACTCTCACTCCAGTGTATCTCTTACATTCCCCCCATCAACCTTCATTCTTTGCTTTAACACCATCTGGATTTCATTTTCTCTTACCAACGCGTCCAGCATCTTGGAGCTGGATTTTCAACATCTCCATAGGAGTCGTGACGATAACCTACGATCAAAATGAAAAAACAAATCACAATGTGTCAGGTACAGCGCAACAAATCCACAGTGTGTTACAAAGCATCAATACAAAGAGTTCAGGAGGATTGATTTAACACAGAGCATGTCAGGCAAAACGTGTGTCCACTGTAAATCTACTAGCATGCATTAGCCCTCTGTCACCTCTTGTTTGCCTCGGTGATCCACACAGTAGTAACAAGTTAACAGGATTACGGGTGAGATGGCCGTGTTCTCAGCCACAATCTTAATCCAAGGTCTGCTACATTTAATCTAATCACGTTCCTTAGGCTTGAAGCCTTTGCCCCCATTGACAAAAGGCCTTTCCCCTACGGCTCACACTCCAGCACATATCTGCAGTTTACATAGTCTGGCACTCTCACAGCGTCTTATCTGATCACTCAAACGGAGTTGCCAGTGTTACTATGTCCTGCTAAAAAGGACAATATTATGTTCATTTAAAAAAAAAAAAAAGAGACAAGTTGCAAGTATGTTTCTGCTACAGCCTCTCATGCAAATCTGGTCGTGGCTTATTCCAACCGGAGGCAGTGACGAACGAGGCGATGTGGTTGGTGCGTGAGCTGACACAGGCAGCGCTAATGGTAGCAGGTCCAGATGGAGAACAGGAGGATGCAATTAAAGCAACATCTCACTCACTCGCTCGCTCACTCACTCACTCACTCACCTGGCATGTTCCTGCCCCGCATCCAGCCAGCATCTCTTTGACCAGAGTGAGTTTTCTGAAAGAATAAAGATATTAAAAAAAAAGAAGATCAGATGATTCATGATGTAGACTGACAGTGTGAGAGAGTGGCCATTTTTATTTCAACTGTCAAAAAAAAAGAAAAGATAAAGGAGTTGTCACCACCCGGGCTGGTGATGCTAATCTCTGTCTTCCATATCAACATGTCAGGCACAAGGGCAGATTAATAATTCACAAGGTGAGCGGCCAGGCAAGAGAAGTCAATCATTCATCAGCCTGCGTGTTTGTCGCCATAGAGATGGAGAGAAATGCCCTAGAAAAACTTTTAGTTGTATCTGTGCAAGCAGTGCACATGAGGGGACACTGATGGGTGATGCATTGAAGCAGCTGGTGACGTGATTTCATGCAGGACAGAAGCCGACCGGCATACAAGCCATTCTGTATTTTTAAACTAGACAGTTAAAGAAACGCTCGGTGCTTGAAGACGGAGCGACACAACGGTGGAGGATTAACAAGAGGCTCGGTGAAAACACAGCGAGCTAATGTGTCAGGTTACATGTTAGTAAACACGACAGTTAATCACGGCGTGAATGAGGGGAGTGTGTGCATGTGTGTGTGTGTGTGTGTGTGTGTGTGTGTGTGTGTGTGTGTGTGTGTGTGTGTGTGTGTGTGCAACATGCAGCTTGTCAGCAGTTCCATGGCTCACCCATCCTTGGAGAGGTGCTGCCTGAAGAAGTCGTTAGCGGCCAACTTGATGGCTTTCTCTGGTGTGACTAGTGTTAAGTTCACCGCCGCTCCTGAAGAGACAAAAGGACAGAGAGAGAGAGAGAGAGAGAGAGAGAGAGAGAGAGAGAGAGAGAGCAAGAGGAAGAGAAAGACAAAAAGAAATAGAGAAGGAAGAGAGACAATGAGGCTGTGGAAGCTGAGTTTTGGATATCTGTGCTCAGGCTATAAAGTGGCAAGAACTTGGTGATACAATATGCACGACCGTATTGGGCTTTTCAGTCAATATCTGTATTGTTATATTTTGTGATACAGTAAGAATGGCATTATATTGGGATCTTTCTAAAAACAAATTTTGGTAAACTATTATACAAAAAACATCACCCATATAAATCGGAGTAAAAGAAAAGAACTTCAAACATCCTTTTTCTAAAAATGGGACCAGCATTTTTATTTATCAAAGGTCCTTAAACATCCGACATTGTAGCACTTTTTCTAAAATCTACAGCAAGGGATTCATATCTTTCAGTAAAGAGAACAAACATTTGCTTTAAACCACCAACCAAAACAAACTGACAGTGTTTTTGAGAAACAATAAGGTAACAAAATACATAAAACCACAATACTCAAGTGTAAAGATATTTACCTAGAACCAAGTATATACCATGACTATGAAGCTGAAACAGAGTCCTACAAACAATATTTAAAAAAATGACCTTCTATGAGCTAACCCAGTAATGAAAAGACTCGAGTGAAGGTTCAGAACTCACCTCTGTACATCCCAAAATACCCCTCTGACCGGATGGTCTTAATAAGGCAATCTGACCTGAAACACAAATACAGAAGTTGAGGTTTGTTTCTCGGAGTGCTACCAAACAATCTGTTAAAAAAAAAACTAGGTTTTTATTAAGATTGCAGCAGAAAACAATGATTTGGAGACTTTGAAAATCTAACAGTGAAACACACGAGTTTCATACATGCTGGTGTAAAGGCGGGCTCCATTTTGCTGGTTCTGCAAGCGAGTCTTGGCCAGGTCAATGGGAAACACACAGGTCACTCCAATCAGGCCAGCGATCCCCCCATTGATCAATTTGGCAGGCAAACTGTGAGACGGAGACAACAATTAAGACCAAAACGTGACATGTGAGAGGGCAACAGATGACGAATAAAGCTGCAGTGCTGCTTTATCAAACCTTACCTGATTTGCTTGTCAGCCATTTATGTTAAGCCCTGGCTGGTCAAAGAGACAGTATGTCTGTAAGCTAGTCACTCGGTGGTCGTCCTTGGCTCCCGACGTTTGGAACAATAGCGTGTGTTGCTCTCACAGTGGGATTACTGTAGTCTGATTATGCTTTGTCGGCTCTCTTTTCTGTGCAGTGGCTGGTAGTTTCAGTTAGGGGATAACTGTAAAAAAAACAACAACAAAAAAAACACAAAAGGACAAGATCAGATTACTTTCTGAAATGTAATACAAAAAAAGGAGAGCTTCATAATAATGCAACATCGCTTAATGCCGTGTCTACATAATTCCATCTCACTTGACTAAATCCAAAGATGGTTTGATTGTTGGTTTAATAACATGTTTTTAGAAGACGCATCTGTCCAAAGAAATAACAGCTAGAATGCATCCAAATATTGAAGTGTGATCCTCCTAAATAAACAGATGAAAAAGAGAGCTGCAGTATCAGACTTCTTGGAGACGTGAGAAGTGACACAGAACTGTCAGGGAGCAGACTCAGAGATGGGCTCTCCGCTCAGTGACTCTACCAAACCTGAACAGAGAGTTCTTTCATTTGAAAATGCGTCTGTAACTACCACTAACGCCCCCCACCTTCGACAATAAAAAAAGAAATTCTACAGTCTTAAAGTCCTACAGAACTAGTCCGGTATTTGACTGTTGGTCGGAAATAGCTGTTGGTATTTACTGAAGGTTTTGCAGGACGATTAAGTAAGTCTCCCCAGTGAGGATCAGAGGCTGTAGGGCTGGAAAAAAAAAAGAACTTTCTCCCTCTCCTCATACAGTACGTGAGCTCAAACCAAACACAACCCCAGGTTGCAGGTGGGATGACATGACATGCTATCAGTGCTGCCAGGTGTTGGGAAATTGAAACCAAGTCCTAAAAAAAAGACAAGCAACGCCTGATTCAACTCAGATGAATTTGTAAGTACTAAGAGAAACTTATGGGACGCAGATGGCCTAGCGTTTGGTTCATACAGTGTAAGGAGTCCTCCAAGGGGTTGGCCCAGGTTCCAATCCGACCTGGGGATCCTTTCCCCACACTCTCCGGATTTCCTTCTCTATCCACTATCCTATCAAATGAAAGGCACCAAAATATCTCTTTAAAAAAAAGAGAGTCTTATTCCAAAGAGAGTTTATGAAAAAAAAATCAATAAAGCCTGTGAGTCCAATTCAAATAATGTTGCATAAAGAACACACAGCCCTCCATAAAAGTAGAGTGGCTGGTTAACAGAATGAATCTGTCCAACACAATCCAGATCTTTAGTTTATGAAAACATAAGACGATAATTACATCAATACTCACAACTGGAGAACTTGATCGAGGAAATTGTTTCCTCTTAAAAAAAGCGATAATCAAAATAGCTGATATTTTTTTCGTAATAAGACTATAGGATATTTCAGACATACAGCTGATAATCAAGAGTGACATATTCATCCCTGACTAAAACAATGAACGCAGATAGACAACCACTGCGCAGCATCTTTGAAACTGAGCTGTGGATATCTCTGTGGAGAGATTACTCTGTGTTAAAACTAATCCACTATCACCAACATCTGTGCGTCATGTGTGTCCTTGAGCACTCGTGGTTTAATCAGAAGCTCTTTCATTGTGTAACTGGAATCGTATATTGTTTAACATACAGGTTAAGATTTATCATCTGCAGGCTTGGAAGTCGTTTTTTTTTGTGTAAACAGAAGAAATATGCCTGATGGGGCCAAGATGCTCCCTATTTCTGGTCCATAATGTCCTCAATATGAAAAGACGATTTCCATTTCCCCTTTCACTCTCTCCACCCCCTCCATCCACCAATCACAAGCTGCCTCTGCGTTTGCAACCCGCCTCCTCCTCTCTACTCCACACCAGCCCCTCCCCCCCCCCACATCATTTCCCTCAGTCACGAGTCACGACTCTCAAAACACAGCTTTTCCGTCTCAGATCTCTGCTGACTTGCAGGTTTTTTTTTCATCGTGAAGTGCATCTACAACTTATCTCCCAACATTCAGGTTCAAAGAGATTGCACAGCGTGAGCGTGGATGTTTTAGGTTTCTGATTACTACAGCTGCGGTCTGGCTCTGTTTGGTTTGGATGGGGACTTGAGGCCCACGCTGGCTGCTCCAGAGGTGCAGGGAGGAGGAGGAGGAGGAGGAGGAGGAGGAGGAGGGAAGGACCTCTCTGGTCTCTGCTGCCTGGGTTGTTCTCCTCTCACCTCCCTGGAGCGTCACACAGCCGACTTCACAGCCCTCCTCTGTCATTCGTCTCCCTCAAACTGATCCTGAACATTTTCTCACCCGACAGCCGTGAGAAACACCCACCTCCTCACTCTACTGCATGCTTCTATTTCCCTATTTTCTGATTGCAGTCACTATTTATTTACAAAACTGTATGTTCTGTGTGAGGAGGAAATGCATTAGGTTTTGAAGCTCAATGCATTCTCCTATGAGTCCCCCTAAAATGGGCATTTCTCTCCCGTCACCATTGTAGTTTACGGCATTAGTCGTCCACTTCAGTTCATCAACACCACACCACTACATCTGCACCAG